CCTGAAGGATCTGTGTGAAAAGAACAAAAAGGTAAGCCTAGAGGGATCTTTCTTCCCCTACAAGATTAGATTTATTTTGGATTTTAAGGACACTTTAATCCACCCAATTCAGATAAATGTAGAACTTCTAAGTCATAATTCCTGAAGTCCAGTGCAATTAAAAATCTTGGCAAAAGTCAGAGCAGTGTAAATCCTACCTAAGGGAGCTGTGATTACATCGCAGCTCCGTCGGAAGCTCGTGTCTGAGCCATTAGCTGTCAGCAATCTAATGTTCACCTACAAAATGGGTAAAGTTCAAATACATAAACAAGAATTTCAGTGTGTCACTGTAGGACAGCCTGGGAACACCTGTATTTCCTATTTAGCTTCCGCTATAGGCAGCAAACTTGCTCATGCTGGTAACTAAACTGGATTATAAAGCATTATCTGTTCTTTAAATAGGAATTAGACATCAACAACCTTGCAACATACAAGAAAAGCATCATGGCCTTGTCCGATGGAGGGAAGCTTTACCGAGCAGAACTGGCTCTTATTCTCTGTGCTGAGGAAAATTAGACCTCTTCTAACATACCCACCTAACTAGTGATGTACTCTATCTACACAATAACTGTGCACTATAAGGAAGTAGGCTGTATTTTTAAATTGCATATAGAACATTAGCCAGGATGTGTGGCACATTCCTTTCAGTTTGTTTCTATACTGTTTGTAATGTACAGTTTTTGTAACTATAAGATCGAAAATGAGAATGTCTGTGTTTGGGCCGGTCTGTATATTCAATAAGAAATTAAACTATGTTGGAGTTGGGTATTTTTTTTTTTTGCTTTCATAAAAACAGCTGGAAAAAAATTAAACTTGCCGACACTGTTGTGGGCCCCACATCCTTTGACACCTGCAACGTTTTTTCTTCTTGATCTCTGTAACAAAAATTTCTAAAGATGTCTCTACAAGTTACAACTAAATATGGGTTTTTAAATGAAAAAAAAAATGTGAGGAAAAAGACTTAATTTTGCTTTAGGAAAAAGGGAGTTGGAAAAACATTCTCCAAAATTTACCAAGGCACTGAAAAACATTTTCAGCTGCCAAATCATCCACTTACAGGTCTGTGATCTCTGCAGTTTTCAATCACTCTTCCCATTACAAACGCCTTGCACATAGACAAAGCATTTGCAAGCAGAAGAAATCTTGGATAGCTCTCCCTCCAGCCGTTGACAAAAATATAGTGTTTTCAATCTAGTTGTTCAACTTTATTGAATTTAAACATAGACATTGCGGACACAAAAGCCTATATTTTGTCTTGGAGTCCTGGCTATGGCAGGTAGCATAGTTAATACACACATTAGCACATGATAGCATAAGTGTACCTTTCATGACTATTGCTGTGTCAGAGAATACGACAATCCATTTTCTAAACTATTTTCACCTTTTGCAGGTTATAATTATTCTAGTAAATTGCTGTTTTTACATCATATTCTGTGTAATCTATAATTAAATTTAATATCCTAAGACTGTTGGTGTCTAGTTTGTCTATCTCCCACATTCTTTTTCTGTAGATGACAAAACAACTGTTTGGGAAAAAAAAAATGTGCCTCCTTGGATCTTACATTGAATGTCTAAGCTATAATAGTATAACCACCTAACATCAAAAGGGACAGAAGATCTATTACAGATTTTGTACCATGTTTAGTTTACATGGTGTGCTCTGCCTTTTAATATGCTTGAGAGGTATTTTTTAAATGGGAATTACAGTACGGAAATGGCTTCTTCTGCCATATATATATTTTGGCCTGGCTCTGTTTTTATTTTACATCAGTTTTATGCCAGCACATTTCTGTAAGTGTCCAGGTGTACTGGTGTAAGAAGGAAATCAAGCTCTGTCTTAAAGTCGATAAACCTAAGATGCCTCCATAGGAAACTGCATTTCAGCAGCAGGCCCAACTTAGTGGATTAGCTATATACAGCCTCTCAAATGCAACCCAGTGTCTAATTTAGCAAGCAGAAAGAAGCATTTTAGTTGAAATGAGGTGTCAGAGAGCAAGGCTTGAATCCCACAAGGTCCTTCTGTCACATAACTCCCACTGATGCTAATCCTCCAACTCAGGCCACACTCCAGCTTCTAACCCCGCTTTGAGTTAAGGGGTGGACAATGGCACTGGTGGGGGGAAAAGGCACAGAAAATTGACATAAGATTGACCTAGGTGATTTTCACTGCTTTACTCCACCCCATGCACAGTGATTTAACTTCTCACCTGCTTGCTCTCCTCTATTCTCTATGCAATGTGAAATATAATTGTGTATGTCAAGCAAAGGAACAGTGAATAGATTATCTGCCTATCAGTACAATAAATGATTGAAATTGTTCTAAACTGTGCACTTGAAACGCTGGGTTTTGCCTTATTTTAACATTTTAAAAGTGTAAAGGAAAAAAATCACCTTATACAGCAATAGATGTGATGTAAAGTGACTGCTGAAATCAATAGGGTGGATGATGAAGTGTTTAATGTGCTTTGACAAAGAGTCATCACAAAAACTGGCATCTATCTTCCTAAGCACCAGTAAAGTTACCCATTAAGGCTCTGTTCACACTTCTACTTCTACTACTGCTCTTACTGATCAGTGCCCTGCAGAAAATATACCTAAAGCAGCTCTCAGTCGTGTCTGTGCAGAATGTTTCATATAGCCATTTCTCCTAGGTATAATACGGACTAAAAGAGAGCACTTTAACAGAACAGTTCTAGCAAAGTGTGGGTCACATCAGTGTAAAGCATAGCAAATATGGCTAAGTCAAAACTTCTGTGGAAACACCAGAATTAAAGATCTCCAAAACATTCTTGGACAGAGCTCTCTGTGCCAGGGTCACAGCGATGAGGCTTGGTGCAACGAGACAGTTGGTGGTAGGGAAGACTGCAAGCTCCTTTCTTGGGATAGATACTTGGTTACAAGAAGCATATTAACGTAGCAGCATGTTAATTATGTGCAGCAACGCACCTGCTAAACAGAGGAGCTGACGTACAGGTAGTTACGTGGGATCTACATTGTTGTTAACTATCTTACTGTCTAAAAATACGCGTTTTACTACAATAGAAGCAGCATGGTGACTGCACAGGCCATCAGTGCCGCCCAGGGGCCGCACCACAGCAGGAGACATCGGCAAGGCACAAATGGTGGCTGCCATGCGAGCCCCTGGCTGCAGAGAACACCTCATTCCCAACGCGGATTTTCCCACCCATGGGATCGAGCACAGGGCTCCAAGTCAGTGCTTCAACTACAGCGCTGAGGCCCTTGCAGGGCTAGTCCCAACGTTTCACGCACCGTAGCAGGGTGCTATCTACAAACAGTGATGCACCATTTTCTCTCACAAAACAGGCACACATTGCTTCTAAAACTGCATTTAAACTAGGATTAAGTGTTTATATCACTAGGCAATCCTAGCTTTTTAGCCCCATTTCCCCTTTGGCATTGTGCATTTCCACCAAGCCCTCATCATCATCCTTGCATTGTTGAAGCACAATGAAATCCCCATCTACTTGCTACAAGGAGACTTCCTATTTAGGCAACAAACTCTATGCAGCTTTTCTGAAATGTTGAGCACCTCCAGATCCCTCTGAAACCACCCAAAGCTGATCTGCACCAATTAAAATCAGGCCAAGGCCCTAAAACCCCGCTGAGGGTTCACAGAAGAGCTTCCTTCCCCAGAAGGTTCCTTGTGAATTAAAGCGAGTTCCCCTCAGGTGCAAAGTTGGCCTGATTCTCTCTAGTGAGGCAGCAATGAAGGAAAGAGAAAGATCCTTTCGGCAGAACAGCTGCATTAACGCAACGCAGACATAAGCTACGAGGTGGTTTCCAAGGCAAATGTCAGCAGATGTTGGCTTGAAGGGTGAGTAAAAAGCAAGACAACTTGACTAGGCCTCACTTGCAGGAAGACACCCTGAAACTGCTTTTATATTCCTAACTTTTCAATCACTGCGTATCAATCTCAAAGCACATACAAGCATGGACAGAATGCTGCATGCAGGGATGGAAAAAATTTGGGATAACACACAATTTTTAAGAACTGGTGGAGATTTCAGGCTGCAAAGGCCAGATCTGAAGTTAGACTTCCTCCTTGGAGCACTGCATGTATTGTTAGAAGAGGGGAAAAACAGGCAAACTCCACAATTCTGGAAAACTTCATAATTCCAAAAGAAAGAAAACAATAAGCTTGCCTTCTTTTTAGTAGCCTACTTATAACTAAGTTGACACATTTCTTTTGGGATTAATGAACTTAACTACATACAGAAGTAATGCCACCTTAGAGCTCCTTTAGTACCAACCTGTGAATGATAATGGAATCCAGGTTTCTACAGACCTCTGCCAGTAAGTTTCCACCGCTTTCAGTCCCAAATTACTAGTGTCCTTCACTAGTGTAAGTAAGCCTTTTTATGCTGACACTAGTCACACACACACATTAACAGCAAATGAGGTTTTAGTTTCTCACTTTCAAGAACATTAAGTTAATCTACGATAAAGACAGAGCAACTCAGGAAGGAAGGATTCGTCCCTAGATACTATTTTTAAAGTTCAGCAGAAGATAATTAACAGATTGAAAATGTCAGCAAAAGCTGCTACTGAGTAGGTTATATACCTCAAAACTTAGTATGGGGAAAAGATTACCTTAGAACTTACATTCTGTCTTTACTATATACTATTGAAAACTTGGGAGACACTTGCAAATTCAGGACTTATAACTGAGCTGCAAATAACAGGGCTTCCTTAGTTTATCTTAGATTAACAATTATGTTCAGGTATGATGTTCCTGAAATGCTACTGTGATTACAATATTAAAAATTACTTGCATATACTTGGACAATGGAAAAATGCTCTGAAATATTAAAAATAAAACTAACCAGAGACCACAGCATGGCTTTGCAAGACATTATGCAGAGTAAAATTTTAATAGTGTCAGCATATAAAATGTTTTGAAAGCTATTCCTTAATAGGTCATTTCTAAACATTGATGATTTCAGTAGTTTGTTTCCTAAAACCATCACCAGGAACACAGTAAAATGGTACTTTAGGAGCCCTTTGTTTCCCTGATCTTTGCTTCCATCACATCCCACTCCTCCTTGGTAACCTAGTAAAAGAAAAGAACATTTTATTGTAATTCAATATGTATTATTACACATCCAAGTATTTGTCTGAATGCCAAAGAGTAGGCAAGAAATTTAGTACCTTCCTCAATTCATTCAATTCTCCTGCTATAGCAACAAATTCTCCACCATCCATTCTAATAACCTACAGAGAACAAAAACAGTATAGTTAATAGTTTTCTTAGACATCTATTTAAGTCAGTTATTACTTTAAAAAAGTGCTTTTTCAGGCTTTAAATTACTATAAAATACAATGAAAGTGTTAATTACACTGAAGTGTACACATTAAGTAAAGAATTTCAACTTGTTTCGTTTAACTTCTCAAATGTCATATTATAACCAAGACTAGGAGACTGGTAGCAAAACTCTGACCTCACAAAGGTTGATTGTACAAGCAAGAATGATTAAAACTTACTGCTCCATTAACCCAGCTCGCGTAGTCACTGCATAAATAGGTAGCAAGATTTGCAATTTCTTCTACAGTTCATTGTAAAGAATTTCAACTTGTTTCGTTTAACTTCTCAAATGTCATATTATAACCAAGACTAGGAGACTGGTAGCAAAACTCTGACCTCACAAAGGTTGATTGTACAAGCAAGAATGATTAAAACTTACTGCTCCATTAACCCAGCTCGCGTAGTCACTGCATAAATAGGTAGCAAGATTTGCAATTTCTTCTACAGTTCCCACACGGCCACAGGGAATCCTCTCTATATATGTACCCTCAAATGTGCCTGTTGGGTCCAGACGGCTAAAAGCACCCTGAGAATTAAGAGAAATATTTGAACAATTGTTGTATCAGAAATTAAAATCAGAAGAAGATTAGATTCCTTAATATGGAAGACCCAATATGGGAACTACCATTTGGGGGCAAACTGTACTACAGCTTTGTCAGAAAAAGGGAAAAAAAGAAGAAAGCAGGAGACAGAAACACAAATTATCTGTGTTGCACTGGTATGTGCTCACCCACCAAGGGTGATAAACTGGAATTATACTTGCTTGGGATCATCACCCACCAACTATCTATGAAACAAAAAGGGATTATTATAATCCTTTATATTTTTTTTCCAAGTGCCTGGCAAATTCCTGACAAGTATTTGAAGAAATAAGCAAGCCTCAAACCTGATGCATGTACATGGAAGAGGAACCAAGGGGCAGTAGGGAGAGGAATGGAGAAAGTGACAGGAATAAATTATACATGCCACAGAATAAGGAAAAGCAAAAAGCAGAAAACTAAGTTTCAGTTAAACTGGAACAACAACTAGAACTAAAGACACTAAAATTTGCTATCCAAATACCTTAGAATGTCATGGAAAATAGAAGAGATTTAGTTGTTCCTCCTGGCTTTTCCACAAAGAAACCATTTTATTTGGGAAAATCAGAATTAGTGTTAGTAACATTTATGTTACGTTAAGGCAGTTATGAGAGTTAAGGACACTGAAGCTTATGGCTCTGCTATTTAAGTATTCTACAACAGGATTTTTTTTTAAATGTAAGTTTTTACAAGCGATGCTTCTTTCTCTTCCTACCATGCCTTACAACAGTGCTTTCTAAAGACAGGGCTACGCTCTAGAGCAGAATGCCTCCATTTGCAATATCTTGTTTTAAATAAAGTAGGCCTTGATTTATAGAGTTTCTCTGAAGCTGCAACTCTGATCAGTATAACAAATGGAGTAAAGGCTGCTTGCTTTCTTCAGAATACACATTATCTCAAATGTGATAATTTCCATCTAAATGTAAATTTACATCTAGATTTACACCTATTTACATCTAAAATAATGATGGTAGGTAGCAATACTGACAGTTAAAGCAGGTTAACTGTCCAAAAATTATGAGAATCTTTAATTCAAAGCGGATGCTAAAAGTTTGCACAGATTCCAAAAAAGAACAAAAGACAAAAAAAAAGGCAGGGAAATCCATTGAGATCATTACACTATGAAAAAATATCAACTACATCAAACAATGCCATAGGCCAGCAGGGGCTGGAACATAAAGAGGAAGCCTCGTTACATGTTTTTTCTTAATTATACTCTTATCTAACAAATTCCTAAATATAAGGCCTAGAGGACTTTTGGTATCATTTTATAAGGTTGTTTCAATGCTCTTACCACCATGCTGATAGGCACTTATCTTTCCTTTCAGTCAAGAAAGAAAAACAAAACAAAACACCTCAGTTGTCCAGTGAAGCATCTAAGACTGATGAGAGGAAGGAAAAAAAAATTAAAAAAGACAACACACAGCAGCACCTCCAGAAACCACTGCTAGGAGCCATTACTGCTCCTGACTTTCCTTATTGGACTCATGTGAAGCAGTTCCTCCTCTCTGCTTGCTGTGCTACCATTTTCCTCCTATACCAGCTGCTCTGGCTGACCTCCTTTGAACACTTTGCTCCTTTTCATTCATTTCTAAGTTGTACATTCATCACTGCCTTATTTTTTCCCCTCTAATGTTGCAATTTTTGATAAAACTCACGAGGTTCTGTCTTCTAACAGGGTCTGCAATTTTAGCGTTGATCAAATACTTATAAATGAGGCACTCAGATAGAAATAGGGAGCTGCACTTCACCAAGCTAAGAACTCATTTCACTTGACAAACTGTAATAGCTGGGTGCTTTTAAGCAACTGTATCATTAAAGGCAGACATGGGTTTCACTTGCATTAGCGTGGCAGAAGGGGCAGTGGCAGGTTTCAAAAGTCTGAAACATTCTATTTTACAACATTTTACGCATGAAGATTGAGAAGAGAAGCAGTGTACTCAGTAGCTTTGGATCATATTTTGAATTTAAAGGTTATAGAAAAGGTTAGAACATCTTAAAAGCAACTCTGTAGTACACAAAACATATCCAAATGTTTTGCTCCATGCTATGTACCTTTGTTTTTACTGGACCTGGTTGAATCACATTGAATCTCATGCCATATTTACCCCATTCAGCCGCAAGAGACCTAAAAATTCATTAACAGAATGCATCACCATTTTAAACACAGTATTTTATCATGCTATTCCGCAAAGAATCATAATCAAAATGAAATGCTAAAATTTGAGTCCTAAAGCATTTAACATTTTTTGCTGTTTCTGACAAAAAATATTTCCAAAAAAGTCACATTCACAAACAGAGGAATTTCAATTCAATATATATATCGTAACTAAAGCAAATTGAAGGAGTGATTATTTCCCTCCACGAAACACAGAAAGGATTTTGGCACCCAAGCTCCTTGCAAACAACTGTTAGGCCCCTACCCTCCTTTTGCACTTTAAATCACCTTAGAAGTACGACATCTTCACCACAGTTCTCAAAGATGCTCTGCACTTTCGGATAAGGGGCCATTTTTGCTTCACGGCAGTTTTTTTTTTTTTGAACAAACACTTTAGATGTATTGTCTGCTACAGAGGATTAATAAGCTCAGTGACAAAGTCTTTTAAAAGTACATACAGAAGTAGTACTCAGCTCTATAAAACAGATCATGACTCTGCTTTCCCTTTAATAGATAAGGAATTCTACTCACCAAAAAAGGCTGCAAAAACATTCAGTTGCTTCTGCTGAGGTGCAAAGGAGGGACTATTTATTATCATAGACTGCAATATAGTTATTAATGATAGAAGCCTTTCCCTTTGCTGAGTAACATGGTTATCTGTTACATGCTACTGTTAGGAACTACAGTATAGCTGCAGACCTTAATTTAAAACTGAGAAAGGAAACATTTCTTTGTGAAACTAGCTATGTTTCAGTAGAGTAGCCTCTACCGAAATACAAACACACCTTTACTATTTACAAAAGTAAATGGAAGGCACTATGAACATTGAAAAGTTCTCCTGATGACCACTTGCAAGTGCTGGTTTGCCTGTGACAGCCAGCAGGGAAAAAGAATTGCAAAACTCCGAAATTCTGTAGCTTGCTGTTGCCAAAAGTAGTTTCATTGATTTCTCCTTATCCTTCCCCATCAAAACTTTGCAGTTTAGTTTCTTATCT